AAAAAGAAAAGCTGCTTATTTTTTTTCTTATATTTAAATTAATATCACATATGAAGATTCATCAAAGAAACTATAAATTATTTCAGTCATTTTGCCATTTTATAAACGTGCAAACACGTGTATTTTAATACCAAAATGACAAAGAACGAAAATTGCACAAATAATTAGCTTTAATATTAACATCATTAATAATTTATCACTGTTATGATTTTTTCGAACAGAGATTAAAAACAAAAAATTGAAATCTATTATGACTGATCAGAGTCAAAATGAATTCTACATTTTATTTGAAAATATTTAATTTGCGAAAGTAATCTCTGTGAGAGATGCATTATCATAACTTTCATGAATTCAATATAAAATAAAGAAAGAAGTAAAAAAAATTGCCGCAAATAATTGCTTATGTCATGAGTCATGATGATGAATTTTTGCATGACATTTTGCATAATATTAATATTTTTGTGATTGTTTTATTTGTGCACAATATGCATAGGTCATTAATACTTGTGAGCTTAACTTTGATATGCATTTTATACTGCTTGCTTAAAAACCAGAACAACTGAAACTTTGGGCTGTTTTTTAGAACTGGCTATTGAAATCATAATTGAAATGCAAATTTTATTTTTATTAGTATATATTATAAAAACACAGTTTGCATAAGAAAAAAGTTCACTGTCAGCATCTCTCATATTATTGACATTAAATGACAGTATTAATATTACTTACAAATAACAACACTTTCCATGTTATTGTTGTTGTTGCCACTACTAATAATATTAGCATTAGCTGTTACTAATTATTACTATCATTGAGCTGTAAAACGGCATTTGTAGATGCAGCGATTGCTGAAGCAAACGATATCGATGAAGAGCTGATTATGTAGTCTCAAATCACACTTTACCTACTATTTACCTACTCATATTTTCAAGATTATTGCATTTGGGAAAAATTTTAATTCAATCCAAAGTGTCAATTTGGCGCAATAGCAATCAGTCCTGCACTTTAGCAATTGTAGTAATAATAGTAGTAAAACAGCATAGATTAGCAATCAGCGCTTGCTCTTGTTAACACCTGTCTAACTGCTAATAAAATAATTCTTTCGCTTTGCTTTGATATGTTTAGCATTTTCTGTTAATGATTGCTAGCTAAGTTTCTACTGTAAATTAACTTATATATTATTTCTTGCAATATCCACTGAAATCAAAACATTTTCCGAGCAACTACTGTAACTAAACTATAACAATAACTTTAGTTCAGTAATGATATTAACTTTTATTGCTTTGCGAAATTTTAGCTATTTACTACTGCGTATTATATATATAATATTTGTTTATTTACTTTTATTTTCTTATTTATTAGTTTCAAAACATAACTGGACTTTTTTTCTTTTCTTCCAAACATTTAAATTGAAAGAAAAAGTTTAATTGCAAAAAGATTGCAAATAAATAAACTTATAAATTTGTTAGTAAAACAAGTCTTCATAATATAATTGATCAAATTGGGTTTAACATAAATTCGTTTCAATCATTTATTCATTTTAAGTTCATTTTTATGTGCAAGTTATTCTATCCCGATACTCAACTTACTGATTCATTAGGACAAAAAACTTTTTGGAATAATTTAATACCTACTATTTTTAAATGCTTGTTTAAAAATAGTTAGGTATTAATTTATTCCAAAAAATTGAATTACAAAATGAAAGATAATTTAAATTCATTATTCACTGTGTACTACAAAAATAATGAAAAATAATTTGACTGATAGAAGTGATTTAATGATAATTTAAAAAGCAAAATATACGTACCATTAGCATTTCCTTTTTATTCTGGAAAAGTTTTTACTGATATTCTAAAGCAGATAAACGCATTTACAGATTCCAACAAAAAGTTTCATTGTTTCCAAAATGGAAGTTTTTGTAATTTGATTGAGTTTGACATTTTTGTATAAGTTTGTGTAAGTGTATTCAAGAATATATGCGCTTGTTGATTTGTTAATTAATAGTATTCAAGAGTCAACCAATAAAATAATTGTTTTTGACAGGAAAATTGTATCCAATTACTTCAATTTCATTGTCTTATTTTAAAATAGTGATAAAACGTTGTTAGAGCTAAAAAATCACTTCTTTTGAAATATTACATCCAAAAAAAAGTGATTTTATTTAGTTATTCATTAATTATAGTGATGAACTGCAAGTTTCTGCTTGTTCTGTATTTGCCATCGTTTTGTGATGTATAGCATGATAAATTTATCATACTTGATCAAAAATAAATTTTACAAACGTTGTAGTTTTGTAAAAAATTGAAGATAAATTAAAAACAGTTATTTTGCAACTTTGATAATGAATTGAATGCAAATAACCTGCATTTGTTTTAAGTGTTCTTTACCAACCATTGCAAACAAATACTTTCATTTTAAAAACGATCATTTGGCAAATTAATTTAAAATTAGTGTAAATTTTTCGTAGAATGTGAAATAGTACTTTAAGAAAGACAGAAATAAACAATTTTTGTTATTGTGTCACATCAAATTAGCGACAACTGTTGATTGTCGTTTCACAAATATTTATTCTTCCAACTATCGATAAGTACCTCGTTTCTAGCCTTTTATCGAAAACAGGTTTTAATTTTAGATTGCTAACTTGTGATTGACTGACTGATTGCAATGGCATTTAAAAATGTTTTTTAAATCAAATCCTCCAAAAAATACAGATTTCAAATTGAAATGCGAAAACTAAAAATAATGAAGAATTATATGTAGATTAAAATAAAGGAGCGAGAATTTTTTCATTTATTTCGATGATCATAAAAACTTTAGTTTCTGCTATACTCACTGAATGAAGGATGCATAATTTTTGATGTATCAGATTTGTTTTGATTGCTAATATAAGTCAAAAAAAAGACTTCCAACTTTTTAAACTGCTTTATTTAATAGTAGTTAATTTTTTTCTTCAAAACATTTTGCTTACGAACAGTTATTAAAAATGAGTCACAGTAAGAAGAATAAGTCATGCTTTGTTAAAACTTTTGACAAATTGATTCAATCAACAAGATGATCAATGAGTTGAGGCTGTTGAAGCTTTCAGTTAGGTCTAGTCCTGTCTTATTTCAAAGCACAACTGGTGAAAGCAGTGCTTCTCGATAAGAAATGATAAATTGATAGATGAAGTGATCGTAATTCACTTGGGATATACAAGATATCAGGACACTGAGAGAGAGTAAGAAGATAACTGTGATTGGCAGTTGGGATATGATCATTTAGTTAAAGAATCCAAAAAGTTTGATGAAGTAAAATGAGTAAAGTAAATTTTAGGTATCATTATTGCATTTTCCCTTAACGATATTTCTTTTCTGCTTCAAGGACGATTGATTTCCCTGATAAAGGCTCCACGATAATCCTATCAAATTTGCATCGATACTCCTCGTTACAACAATTCAACTCATTTTCACTTTAAAAAATCACTTTCTTGAGTTATATTAACAGTAATTTTGTCATGCTGAGCAAAAACTTAAAAAGAAATACATTCAGCTTTTACTTAATGAATTAATGCAGCATTATAAAATGTATATCAAAAAAATTCATTAATATGCAAAATAAATCTGTGTAAAAATAAATTACTTTTAAGAAGACAGAGACACAGGATGAAATAACTGGTATAGCATTACTTTACATGTTCATTTAATCAGATATCATTATTACGAGTACATAATTTAATGCATCTCATAAAAATTGATCCAAACTACAAAGAATCGTTGAAACTTTTCAAAAGTAAATAATCAACTAATTATAAATATGTGTGCACATAAAAAGTAAAACGATAATATTGCCAATAAACAATATTAAAAATGAGCGTTTTTCGTCTTATGGAGCATTGTATTGTAAGCTACTTTTTTGATAAATTAAAAAAAGCTTTTGCACATAATTACCAATAAAATCTTATGTACAATAAGGAAGTATGAGAAAATAAAGAAATTTTATTGTTACTTTAAGTAAAAATAATTGCAACTCTGTAACTGGTAGACGTTAGCAAATGGCAAAATTGTTTGAAAAATCAAATTTAGTCAGAATACAGTTCAAATTACTTCAAAACTAATATTATGCAAAAAGTATTTATACAGCTAAAAAGTAAATTGCTCAAGAATCATATTGGTCAAATTTGAATGAGTATTTTAATTATAACAGTTACTGATTATTGAATAAAATTTCATGCTAGTTTTTCAGTAAAATATAATAAAAGAAAAATGCTGCTAACATTATATCAAGAAATTAAATTTAACAGAAAATACAGCATGAACTAAATATAAAAGTTTAAAGAAAAAAGTTTGTTACAGTTTACATATTGATTACATTTTTTCGCATGACTTTCGACCTTGGCTAATAGGCTTAACCTATGTGACCTTGGCTAAAAGAGTGAATGCGATTGAAAGTGAATAATGCTTAAGTGATGATTATATGAAGGATGAAATATGAATTAAAAAGGAGGAAATTGAAGCTCTGAATATATTATGTACATTAAATGAGATGCATTTTTTTGCAACAGTCAAAACTTGATGATTGATAATTAAATCACTTTTGTACATATTATTATAAATGTTGAGGAGTATGCTTATAATTTAGCCGCTACTAGTTGTAATAGTAGCATTAGCCTGCGATGATGCAATCACTTTTGCAGCGATTGCTGCAAGCAATTTTTGATGATCAACGCTTGGTGGTAAACCCGTGGTGGTAATGCATGGAAAAGTTGACTGCGGAACACGTACGCCAGGTGCTCCAATCAGTGATCTGGAATCGGTAATTTGAATCTGACCAGGAAAAGGTTCAGGTAGACGTGAAGGTGTAAGAGGAGCTAATGGCAATGGAGAAGCAGTTCGAATAGGAGGTAATCGAGGGAGTGGTGAAACTCCAGGAGTTGCCAAGAAAGGAGAGGTGATGAAGGGAGCTCCCGGAGGAAGAAATGCTGCTGAAGGATAAGTAACTGATCGAAAATCCGTTTCCGGTTGTTGACGTTTGAATCTAAAAATACTTTCATGAAATTATAAAACAATTAAGAATTAAGTACAACTTGTACTACAAAGTAAAATTTATTGCAGCGAGATTTTTTACCGAAAAATTGAAATTAAAGTATAACAAAGGCATCAGCTGACCACTTCTACCGTTCTTATTTAGCATTTTTTGAACGTCACTCAGGAGGCAGCTGTTAAATGCTATAAATTTACTTATTTATTAGTAAAAATGTTGAAGCGAATTGACCATCTAACAATTTAAGATAATATTCTTTGTATACTGTAATCTTTAATTTACTACTCTTTCTTTCTTTAAATTTCATTTCTACCAACTAATATTGAATAATTTTTTTATAAACAATATATTCCTAGTATCATGAGTGTTGATAGTTAAAAAGATACTTAACCTTTTACGACGCCTCAAGAACGAGCCATTATCAAACATATCCTCAGCTTTTGGATCTAGCGCCCAATAGTTTCCTTTTCCAGGATTTCCTGGTTCTCTGGGAATTTTTACAAAACAATCATTCAAACTTAAATTATGCCTGATGGAATTTTGCCATGCCGGGAATTTTTCTCGATAGTACTGCAATAAAATATTGAATTATTTATTCCGTTATTGACTGATTCAGAATAGAGCGTTTTAGCTAGTGATTAAAAAATTTTCATCCACTTCCATCGCTTTCTTCTTCAATTTCATCGAATATTAATGAATTAAAAAATTAAAATGATATCTGTCATATCAGACAGTCACGAAAGTTTTAATTCATGCTGAAAAAATGAATTTGAGCTTGTTATTAAATTGCACAAAAATTTTATTTAACAAAGTAAAGAATTTTATAGTAGGTAATGAATATCTCAATAGTGAAGTACTGAAGGAAATTTTCTTTTTGTAAAAGTTGCTTCTGCTAGTATTAATTTTATGTTATATATTGGAATTTGATGAAAAAGAACAAAACAAACCTGAAATCGGTTGATGATAAAATCGCATATTTGAGATAAAGTTAACTTTTTATCAGGACTGTTCAAAATAGCCATTGCAATTAAAGCAATGTAGGAGTAAGCTGGTTTGGTTGCAGCGGATTTGGATGTATTACTAAAATTAAGAATTTGAAACGTATTTTTGAAGGACAATGAAATTCAACTATTTAGTCTGTACTGAAGTAGTGATCCTGTTTTGAACTAAAACTTAATTTAAATTCAATTTAAAAGTAAACAAATAGTAAACTTGAAAGAATAAACATTATTTCATTACAGATGCAATAATGTTTGTTCTTATTTATTACCTTGGAGTGTCCTCACAGTGGCCTTCGTCATCTGAACTAGAACTATGTTGCTGATCAGGGAAAATTTCTAGGCTTGAATCTGGCCGATTATTAATATTACTTTTTATTGAATTGCTTGCCCATTTTGGTGATATTGAACCCTCCTAAAAAATTTAATCATATTTTATTGATAAATTTAAAATATATTTCAAATGCATAATTTGCGCAAAATTATGTAAATATATTTCAAAATAAGGCGAACAAAAAAAAATTAAGTGATGGTTGTATTATTTTTTAATAGCTTTATTAATTTGAAAATTATATTTATTTCTTAAAAAGTTTTGATTTAAAAAACTGATTGTTATTGACATTATGTATCAATCAAATGTTAGTAAAGTTTAATGATGGAAAAACCGGAATGAACTAGAAAAAATGAACAAATGTTGGCAAAATTGCGTAACAATGTAAGAAAATAGATGCAAAATGCTATTCAATACAAATGTAATAATCAACTTATTAATGTTAATTGATGCATAATCGATTACTTTAATTCGTGAGATAATCGTTGCTAAGTGTCACCGTATTTTATCATCTACAAGGCTTGATTACTTGCGTAAGAGAGTAGTTAGTTGAAAAATTTTTCAAATATTATTCACTTGATCCTTTTGAGAGGAAATCATACTTATTCAAATAATAATAATATAAAGATACAAGGCATAAATATGCAAATTATGAGAAATAATGAAAGCATATGCCAAGTATGAAGAGGAAAGTATTTTATTATAGCTTTCGTCACATGACAAATGATGAATTTTAGAAAATTTTGCATTAGTTAAGAAAAAAAAGATTATAGTGCGAGAAATTTGAGCTAAACCCAATGAATTCTTTAAAAAATTTTTATTTTGAAACAGGTACAGTTAGAAAACGATTTCGGACTAATTTAAATGCACATTTTATGCAAATAAAGAATGAATCATTTTCAAACGACTGGAACAAATCAAATAAAATTCATATTTGAGAATAAATATTATATTTAGAAACTAAATCATGATATTTTTGTAGCTGCTATGTCTTACTTCATAGTACTTTACTGCTTAATGATCAGTGCAGGCATCACCAAACCAAATAAGTGGTTCAAAATTTTTAAGAAAGTCCGTTTAAGTCTTGTTTTTTTGAAATTTGAAATATTTGAAAAAAGTTGCCAAAAAAAATATGAAATTAGAATAAAAATACTTCATATTTTCGAGAAGCTGCAGAAAATGATTATTTACTAAAAAGATCAGCTGATTTATTGATGGTTATTTAATAGTAAGTAGTATAAGTAATTCTAAGCAAATTTCATTACAAAACTAACCGATCTTGAAGACTTGAAATTATCTGGTTTACCATCTTCTTCAACATTTTTACTGTTTCTAATTTCTTGAAGATCTGCTGATGTTGAACAGCTGACTGCTGCGTTCACTCTATCATATTGTGCACTACAGCTTGCCTGCTGGGCCTAAAACAGTTAATAATGATAATAAAGTACGAAGATTTGACAAATTATTTTTTAAAAAATATTTTCTTTTTTGGTTTACATAATATCAAACCATTAAAATCTCTAATTTTCTTTTTAAAATATAAAATAGTGCTTCACTCATAGATTGTTTTAATGAAAGAATTGTGATGAATTTTGATTTCCATCTGCTTTAATTTCAGTTTTTCAGTTTTTGAAAATCCGTCTTGAGTTTCAATCTAGCAAATTAATAACATTTTATCTTTAACAATTTGTAAAATAACAGGTTAACTCATGCTGACCTATTCTTCTTACTAAAAATTAGTCTATGCTTAAAGTACGGTGGTGTTTCTAGTTGTAATATTAGCAAAGCAAAGTTAGACTAGTCTTCTTTAGTCCTGGCACAATCCACTTATCCGTCATTGTGTTTCGGCCGCAGCAAACGAATGATTGGACGAATGATTCATTCATACCGCCCAATATTCCTTAATTATTTACTCTTTTTCTAAACCATAATCATTCTTATTTCTATTGCATTTTTGAAAAAAAATATTAGTAATTATTATATGGCTGAAATAAAATTGGTGGGAATTTTTCGGGCTGAGTTTAAGCTTTTAAGTTAGACAGATTATTAAAATTTACGTATCAAGCCAAACATTGGCAGATCATATATTTTGTAGGTATAATATAACCTTTAAAAACTTGAAAAACTTAGATGTAAACGTAAGTTATAGTCTTTTGTAGAAGATAAAATTATTTTATTAGATTATAAAATTACATCCATGTTTAATTATTTAGCCATTTTTATATTAAAATGTTTTTCAATATTTACCAAGCATACATTATTATTATCACTGATATGTTCTTCACTGTAAAAATTATTTTCAACTAAATGCAATTGTTGCGTGGTTGAAGATTGTAGAAGCATAACTTTATTTCTGGAGGCATTTAGTGATGAACTTTCTGGTGGATCAGGACTTGTACTCACCTGGAACTTCGCTCAAGTTAAAATAATCAGTAGTTATTATTATTTATATTTTTCAAAAATCTTTTTTCATCTCTAATTTGTACAAAATTACTATGAAAGAGTTTTTTGCTTACTCGTAAATTTGTATCATTTAATTCTTTGCATCTTTTCGAGTCATTTTCGTGTGGACGTTTGCGCCGTTTACTTTCTTCGTTATCTTCCAAATGATTGCACAGTATTGCTTCCATCGAAAAACGCATCTTGGCACTCATACATGGATATCCAATACTTTAATTTCATAGGATTTCACTGCAAAAATTTTGCAGTAGTCATTTTATTTTAGAAAAGTAAAAGAAAGAAACGAATCATTACCATTTAGCTTAGCTATAATTCAAGATTTTGCAAAAATATCACAAATATCTTCTGTTCACTTTTTTAAAGGATATTTAAAAAATTAGTTATACCAAGTTTCTTTGACAGTTTACAAGTAAATAATTTTTTACAAATATATTGACATTTATTTTTAAGAAGTAAAATTCTATTTTGAAATGTATTTGCATCTATCGAAGGAGAAGACAAAAATTATAACATGATCAATTTTTTAACTGTTGATTTAATTTTAGTTTTTAAGTTTTTGTAATTACAATCAACGTTACAATACAACTAACGCTAAAGAGAAGTTCTAAAAATTGCCATATTGTATTTTTGTTATATTTTATTACAGTTACGCCGCACAAATTTGAAGTTGTTAAATTTCATACTACTGAAAAAAGTGTTTAAATTGTACAAACCAAACATAACGCAGTGATTAGATAAAGTAGTAAAAATAAGGAGCACGTTGTGAGTAAAATAAAGCAAAGATAGGAAGCAAAAGTGCACGAAAAACGTGTTTCATCGTTGTGATTGGATTATTTTGATAAGAATTACAGCTTATTCAAGCAACGCAAACAAATAGAAAATGGCTCTTTGTTGATTTATATCATCCTCAAAAAATAATAAGAAATAACTGTTTATGATATACGAACGATTGATATGATTGCCGAACACATACTTTAGTGATAATATATATAAATCATAAAGTTTAATACATGCATAAGTCAAATATAATTGTTAGTGTTAATTAATGACTTCATTAATATCACTGACAATCAACCACAGACTCTATCAAATGATTCACTATTTCTCATTGACTTTTGCACTGTGCTACAACTTTATTTTGGCATCAATAGATGAAAATTAAATTATTTGATAAGAAATAAACAATTTGCTGCATTTTTGCAGGTTATGTGATGGTAAAAGTAATTGCAATCTGGACTAAGACATATTAATCAAGTTTAGTCTATTTTTTTAATTCAAGTAACAAGTCTAGTTTAGTTTTATGTAGAATGATGAGCTGTAAATCATTATAAAATGGAACAGACAATTAACGAAGCTTTCTAAGAATCTTTTTGTAAAAAGTATTTGCTGATTACAGAACGCACAATTTGAATTTAAAATTTGCTGCAAAAAGAAGAAACTTATTCTCAAAATTTTAATGATAATTAAAATAAAGTATCTAGAGATGCCTGATTCTGAAACAATTGTTTTCGAGTCTTGTTTACACTGTAGATTAAGGCTTTGAAAACTCACGAAAAATTTTATCGTAAACTAAGCAAAATAATTACATATCTGCTACCTTCTGCTTTTGAATACTTTTCATAACTTTGTATACTAAACATTTTATAGCTTAGTTCTTGATAAACAAAAAGATATTTGCAGAAGACGAATTAATTAAAAACAGTAAATAAGTGCTTAGAGGCAACTTTTATTGAAACAGTTGTGAAATTATGTTTTCATTTAAAAACAAAATTTGAAATGAAATTTAAAATATATACAGCAATTTGTAATAGCACTAGAAGCTCATCCGTTAGCTCTTAAATACTAATATCTCACTTTAATTCTTTCATTCAGCCATTTTAAGCTTATCAATAAAGTATATTTGTCTAATGTTATTGAAAAAAATTCATGTCTTCTTCAAACAACAATTAATAATCTACACAAAACCCAGCGATTACTAATTTTTAATTAGTGCAGAAATGTCAGATGCAAAAAAAAATAAAACCATTTTTTTAATTTAAAAACTATATTTATTTAAAAAAATAATATTGAAGAGATGGAGGCAGAAAAATGGACAAACCAATTTTCAAAAATTACAGAACTACTCAAATATTATAAGTTTAATAATTTCAATTCATAAACTATTAAGAAAATTATTTGTTATTAAATATACTTTTTAAATTATTTTCTTACTTTGTGCTTACTCATAGTTCATTTTGGTTAATTTTCAATCAAATTAATTTTAAAATTTGAAAACAATTGTTAAAAAAGCAAAATTTTTAGATTTGTAACATCTTTAAGAGTTATAAAAAGTACTTTTTGCATCTGTGGAAATTTGGTAACTACAAAATTTTTTAGTGTACAAAATGCATGAAAATTTTTCAATATTCTTGAAGCAAACGAAGAATAGCAGTAGAAACAGTTAAATTAAGCACTCGTAAAATGAAGCTTCCAAAAAGATTTAGCATTTCAGAAGAAATAAAAAACGAAGAACTGCTTCTCGACATAAAAACATAGCAGAAATCAAAGCATTAATTTTTGATAGCTATTATTGGCTTGACAAATATTGTTACCAATCAATACTCATGTTTGTAATCAAATTACTGGTATCTCAGAAGAAAAAAGTTTTCATATTAAAAATACAGAGTTAACTTCGACCCCACTTACAACTGAACAGATATACTGTTAAATGTAGTTGTCAAGTAAGGTTTGATTTGCACCATTTTTAGATTGTTTGACAGTCAAAAATATTTAAAATGAGAAAAAGTGCTTTTAGGAATTTTTACGCATTGTTTTTTGATATGGTATACAAAATTGTTCTTTTCAAAACAATACTCTTAAAATGTAGTATACAAAATGATCAATGGATATTTAACAAAAATTGGCATTTCTTGAGTGGACACGATCACTTTATGTTAAGATATCAATAAATCGTTTAATTAAATTATCAAAGACATTTTGTTTTCACTGTAGTCATCTATATTTATTTTTGTTAACTTTCATGTCAATATTCAACAATAGAAGAAGATATTTATTATAGGTGCAAAATCAAAGCAACGATGTTTAAATAGATTTGGATTAAAATCCGGGATCAAGCAATCGTTCAGGTCAAATTCAACATCAAGTTGAAGTTTAAATTGAGGTCAAATTTAGAATGAGGTTCAAATTTAAATTTCCAAGCACATACATACATTCAATCATACACAAACATACAACGTAGTTTACCTTTCGACAGCCATCAACCATGTCTTAATAGGCGGAGTTGTCTTTGTTTGTTAAGTACCACCTCTTATAATCATTGGTTCGGAGTATGTGTAACTTTTGCGCCTAATTTTTTGCATTAGTAGTTACGCTAATGTGTTAAGCAAAGTAATAAAAGACAAAAAGCTTACAACAAATTATGCAAATTCAACAAAAATACTTGACCTTTAGAAGGCTAACAATTATATATAGAAGAAGGGTGGTAATATTTTTACTTTAATATGAGAGTTATGCGATAACCTTGACGCATTTGACATTGAAGGAGATATAAATAAAAGCAATAATTTAATTAAAAACAAATTCAACTTTCTAGTTAAGCATATGTGGTTCTGTGCGAATGGAGAATAAAATAGATTGTGTCGCACGATTTTAAACTTATTTAGCACATGTGCCACTTATTGTGTTGAATAAATTTTGCTTTAGTAGTTAATTGCACAAAAAATTCAAAAAATTATCAAGCATTTGAATTTAAAAATTTAAGCTATTGCTATGATACAACTAGTCTGCTTCAATCAAAGTGCTGATTTATTCAAATTTTTTTATTACGTATAATAATATATAGAATTTCACATGGAATGATAGAGTTTAAATAATTCGTGGTTAGAGAGAAACATTAATTACTTGAATTTTTTTTTGTAGGTACTATATGAACTATTCTCACAATCCTATAAATCACTAATGAAATTAAGCGTACTTATCAAATTCTTTTTTCAAGTTAGTGTTCACAGTTATAATAATGCAATACTTGAAAAGAAGTTTTTGCTTTCATAGCATTGATTATAGTCATTATTTAAGTATGATTTTGAGCGAATAAAGAAATAAAGTAGATTGTGTCATAAGATGCGCAAATACAATTTTGAACTCATATAGCACACGTGCTACTTATTGTATTTAGTAAATTTTGCTTTAATAGTTAATTGCACAATATTTGAGATGATCAGGTTTGCAGTAAGATTAGTAAACATATGTATATAAGTGATATAAAGATATTATTACCCTTTTATTCTTTTTTGCTCACTTCAATTGAAAATAATCTCATTTGCATTAATTAGTCTACGTTTAATTTAATAAGTTACAATAAGTTAGAACTTTCTAAGTCTGTAATTTCAAAAAATAATATAGATTTTATTGCATCATGCAAATTATCATTATTTGTAATTGCTCAAATTACGAATAGTATAAGTAACAGTTAGTCGATACAATCTCTCATTTACAAATCTTATGGAAAACAACAAAAATTAATTTTTAATGTGACATAAAACAAATTTTTGTTACAATAATACCATCTCAAGTAATTGTTAACATAAGTCTTCCTTTCATTGCATAAAATAATCATATGAAATGAATTATAATAATTTTCTCACATTGAAATCCATTATATATCATTCGTTTTTACAATTTCAAAGATTAAACTTTAAAAATAGCACTTGTGAGTCGAGTTGTTTTAAATAGTTTCAAATATAAAATAGTTTAAACATATCAGTTTTATTTCATAGATTATAAATACTTATCATTCATTTATCCAAGCAACTGCCAAGTTGAAGAATCACAAAGACATAATACGATAGAATGTTATTATCGTTTTGGCTGTGTGATATGTTGTTAAGAAACGAAAATATATTTATTATAAGAATACTATAGCAACAATGATGAAATGTCTGATTATCATTTCAACTTTTAGTGCAACAGAAACTAATCAAATATGTTCATCAATGAAAGAATTTGAAAACAATTTTTCCTAGAAATCTCAGACAAAAAAAGTATTATTATCAAAACAACTTTACTTGAAGTAATTTTTTCACTAAATATTATCATAAAATCCTTACCATAATCATTACGATTATAAATATTAGTATTTTTATTATTCGTCATTAATAACATTATTACTTGTACTATTAAATATTATTTCTTAACG